AATAGTAATTAGAGTATAGTTACAAGCCGAAGTCTCTATACGTTACTGCCGTGTTACATTCCTGACAGAATGCAGTGTTTTATAATCAAGAGGTTGTAAAAAGGATGTAGCACACGCACTGTCGAGTCAAGTGCCAGTGGATTAGAGACCTGCTCCCGCGAGACCCAACGCAACAGAGTGCGGCGTGGGACAAGATGGGCGAGTGCTGGTACGGGCGGGTAGACACTCGTGTGTGTGCGGGATGCGGGAGAATAAAATGATTCACGGTACTCCCGCAAAATAGAAATATATAAACATAAAATATCTAAAACAAATAAATTGTTATTCATCTATTGCACAAAAGCAACATGAACTTGTAGTGTTCCGTATGGTGTTTGATTGCTCGGTTATCACTAAGCATGTCTAGAGAGAGAAGAGTTCGATTAAAAAGGTCTGTCTCTGTTGGAGAAACTTGTTCTGTGATAAGGAAGTTAGTTAAATGCTGAGATCTGAAGTAAAAAAATGAGCACAGAGTTGCCAAAAAGAACTATCTGTTTCCTGGTCTTTTGTACACCACATTTTGGCGACGAGGATGGCTGATTGCTCTTTACCCCCACCACCGCCTTTCCTCGCATTTCCTGGCGAGCCTCCCTTTCCGTGGTCACTGCTGGCTGCAGTCTTTCAAAACCTATCTCGTCGCAGCGGGCCTTACTAAAGTCAGCGCGCTCAGAAAAAAGGCGCTGCTGCAACACTGTCTGGGTGTGGAAGAACAGTGAGTGCTCAGGATGATCAACGCTGACAACGACGCCACTTATGACAAGGCCGTGAATCTGGTGAATGAGCATTTTGCCACCCCACAGAGCGTTATGCTGCGCCGGTTCATATTTCGTCGATGCCACCAGCTTCCCGGTGAGTCAGTTCATTAGTACGTCGCTAACCTAAGAGGACTGGCCAACTCCTGTAAATTTGGGGCGCTGCGCAACGAAATGATTCATGATCAACTAATTGAACACACAAATAATGAGAAAATTCGGGAAGTTCTATTATTGGAATCTGGCGATCTATCACTGTCAGAGCAATAGCCATTGCATATCAAGTCGAAAGTGCAGCAGAATGTGCAGCCACATTGGCAAACCAAACTAAGCCCACACCCAGCCAACTAGCATACATGGATGCACCCCCACCCATGGACCAGTCACCAGGCAGGGGCACAGAATCAGCTGCTGATACTTCTGATTCTGTAATGTATCTCACACGGCAACAGCGCATGCGACCACAAAAACAGCAGTGCTGTGGTAACTGTGAATCTCACTCTCATAACACCAGAGTTCATAACTGCGCAGCCCGGGGCCAAACATGCCACAACTGCGTGAAAAAAAAAAATTTTTTGCCAATGTCTGTCGATCAGCCCCCACCAGATCAGAGACACACAGCCCACTCTACACCCACTATTCTTCATAATGTGACATCAGGACTTGCGACATTCAAATCATGTACTGTAACTCTAAATGATGTGTGCGTCCCTTTGCTCTTAGACACAGGAGCTAGTGTATCTCTTCTGAATGCCGACACGTACAGTGAGTTTTTTAACTCGCTTTCCTTGGGTGCACCCTCTACTGCCCTGTGTGGGTATGGCAACTCCAAAATAGAAATACTGGGCTCACTTGAATTGACTGTTTGTTAAGGGACAAAAACACTCCCTTCGTTTGTATTTCATGTGGCAAAAAAGGGAGCAAATTTGATGGGGGTAGATCTGTTCGCTGCTTTGAGGTTCACATTGGTGGACTCAGGGGGGGGCTGCTATTCTGGCTGTGACTACAACCTGCCAGCAACAGTGGCCAGCACTGTTCGAAGGGCTGGGCTGCCTCACCACATTCAACCATCAACCTATCCTCAATCCCACTGTCACCCCTGTTATTCAACCACTACGCCACATTCCCCTGGCCCTTCGTGATGGGGTGACAGCTGGGTTTCAAATCTGGTGGTGGCTACAAAAAAATCAGGTGCCCTACGTATCTGTGTGGAGTTGCGGCGTGTAAACAAGGCAGTAATTCCTGACAAGTATCCACTGCCGACTGCTGAAAAAGCCCATAGCCTTTGCCTCTCGTGCCCTTAACCCAACGGAGCAACGGTATTCAGTGGGGGAGCGAGAAGCGCTAGCATGTGTCTGGGCATGTGAAAGATGGCACCTGTACCTATATGGTCGCCATTTCACCCTGAGGACGGACCATCATGCCCTGGTGACATTGCTCGCGACATCAGGAACGGGCCACAAACCACTGAGACTGCATCGCTGGTACGATCGTCTTCGGCAGTATAATTACAGTCTGCAATTTACCCCAGGCCGTGACAATGTGGTAGCCGACCTTTTGTCCCACTCCATTCCTGCAGAAAATACATCCACGGTTAGTAGGGATGTTGAAACTGACATTATTCAGATGCTACACATTCCCCTGCAGGATGTAGTGTCATTACAGGAGCTCAAAACAGCCTCCGACCAGGACCCTATCCTCTCACAGCTCCGCACTTACATCCGGGGTGGCTGGCCATCAAATGTATCTGGAGAACTAGCTGCTTTTTCACCGGTCAAAGATGAGCTGTCCTGTTGGAATGATGTCTGCGTGGCTTGTGGGCTTTGCACTGTGGTCCCAGGGTCCCTTCGTGCGCGCGTGTTAGCAATGGCGCACGAGGGCCACCTGGGCATAGTGAAGCTCAAACAGCGCTGCCGAGACCGGGTGTGGTGGCCAGGAATAGATAGGGAGATTGAAGCACTGGTCAAGGACTGTTCAGCCTGCCTCGTGAGTGGTAAGACAGGCCACTCACCTCCACCACCCCTCCAGCCCTTAGCCTGGCCCTCTCGACCCTGGCAGCACTTATAGCTGGATATTTGTGGTGAGATTCACGGGGTTCCCCACAATCAGCGCTATCTAGTTGTAGTTTATGACTTACACTCCAAATGGCCTGAATTGACTGCTATGGGTTCTGTCACCTCCCAGGTCATCGTGGATTTTTTGGACTCTCTGTTTTCACGCTGGGGCCTTCCACAGATAATCACAACAGACAATGGCCCTCAGTTTATCTCAGGCGACTTCAAATCCTACCTGGAGAGTAAGGGTATTCAACACATCTGCACAGCCCTTTATCACCCCCAGGCTAACGGTGGCGTGGAGTGGTTTCATCAGTCCCTTAAAAATGGTCTCAGAGCACACCTGGCCCAAGGGTGTCCTTTCAATCAAGCCGTTCTCTCACACTGCTGCACTACAGGGTCTCTCATCATTGCACCACGGGTGTTTCCCCTGCTTTTATCATGCTGGGTAGGCAGCTCAATTTGCCGCTTGATCGGCTCCGCCCACCTGTGCCCCTGAAGCCTCCCCCAGGAGTTAAAGCTTCTGTCTCTTGCCAACAGCGCCGAATGAAAATACAGTTCGACAAACGTAAGCACGCCAAAGTGCCAGACATTGCCGTAAATTACTGGGTTAGGGTTCGTAGGCCTCACAGTGGAAACAAACTGGCCTCATTCTGGTCCTCACCTCTGAGAATTACCGGCCGGCTTGGCCCGGCATCTTACCTTTTGAATGATGGTACCCGGTGGCACTTCAGCCGTCTTCGTAAAGTGCCAGCACCATGTCAAGATGCTGCACAAAGAAGCAATACCCTGCCTCAGACCACTCCTACAGTGGAGCAGGATGCTTGAACACCTCAGGCTGTAAGCACAGGCCCAGACTTTACTTTGCCTTAAGGTCCCATCTTCCCATCTCAGTCACCATTTTCCCTTCCATTGAGTTCTCCAGGCCCATCAACACCATGTCTAGTTCCCTCCTCTCCACGACCTGTTCGCGCCCGCTCACAGCTGGGTCACCTCAAGGGCTTTGTAGCTACGTTTCATGCTTAGGACATTGATGGGGGGGTAGTGTTCCTTTTGGTGTTTGATTGCTCGGTTATCACTATGCATGTCTAGAGAGAGAAGCATTCAAGGCTCAACAATTTTTTTGACGTCACATCGTACTTCAGCTTCTCATCAAACTTTCTGTCCAATCAAATGCTCTCTAGAATCTGAAGCGCCCGCCCCCTACACTATAAAATAGACGCTGAAGCCGTGGCTGAAATCGGTCACTTGTCCACAGAATTAGTATTTTCTGTACAGTGAATGGCACGTAGTGCACTATATAGGGGACAGGGAACGATTCAAACAGTGTAAATATGCTTTCCATTGAGGAAAAAAAGAAGTCTGGTTTCGCGCTGTGTCATGCTAACCACCACACTGCACACACACTCTGCTCCGGTCCAGAGACACGATAGCACGGAGCGGATCACATGCGCGAGTCGGCGCAGACCACAAAATGTATCGGAGCTATTTGAATTCTACACAGAATGCTATATTTTATAGCAATATGGATGAGATTGTGGCTCGCATACCCTGTCAAATGCGGCTGTACGGAGCTCAAAGTTTCTGAACGGCTCTAGCCAAAGCTGTGTTATAAACTAACGCTATTGGCTATTTTAAAAAGGGGCGGGGCTGCTTGATATGTCCCGCCCTGTCTTTCTGTTTCAGTTAAAATGACGGCAACACAGAGAGTAACGCTGCGTGTTTCTAAGCATTTCAGGGGACCTTTAAGCAGTAAACTGTTCACATAACTTGGGTCTTCATGCTGTTGTGGGGCGCTAGGGTAGTCTATTCTTCTGTATTTTCTCCAAACTAACTTAATGTTTAATCTCATTTTTTATCAAAATAAATTTTTCATCTTTTCAGCTGCATAGCTACTATATATTTTTTCTGTCTGAGCTTGATCTGATCACAGGAAACTATCAGTGAATGCTGGGAGGAGAATCACTGACTGTGGGCTTTTTACATTATTCAGTATTGCAGTGTTCGGCAAACGTACACTCCTCTGCTCCATATATTATGGTGGATTTCTGCAACGATGCATGAGCTCATGGAGAATCAATGTCAAGAGTTCAGCTGAATAATGGTGTTTCATTTTTATGTAACAACCTGTCACAATTGACATATGGCAGTCTACCTGTTGTTGAACAGCTCAGGATTCTGGATCTTAGCGTTCGTGTCATAGACAAAGTGTTCTTGTGAGATGGTGACACTGTTGTCAAGACTGTCGTTCTTGCTGATGGTGACGACAGGGTAGCCCATCTGCAGGGTCCAGCGGTCCATGACCTGCGTGATGTTGATGTCCTTTCCCTCCCGCTGCATGGCCTGTGAAATATATACATCAAAACACATCATACACATATCACCGTGTCGGGCATCTAACGGCTCAAAGTAAAAGGTGCAAAGAAAACAGATTGTGTCTGATAATGTCAGTTGAGTGGAAGTGAATTGTGTTTGTGGGCTTTAGGGTTTAAGAAGTACCAAATGAATTCAGATTTGATGTCTTTAACAGTGTTAATTTCGTCAACGAAGACGACGACGAAAAATAATCGTTAACGAACATTTTTTTGTGTGACTAAGATGAGACGTTGACGAGCTAAAACTAATATCTGATGATAAAAAACGTTGAGTTATGCATATAACTACTGTTCCCAGAAGGAGGGAAACGAGGTACAACACATGATTATGGGATATCGCGCTCTTGTGCCATCTGCTGAAGACACCTATATTCATGCCTGAAAGGCCAATGACACATGCCGACATGGGTGGGGCTACCAGCCCACAGCATATACTGTAAATGCGGTCGCCTTCATCATTCCCTTTGTTCAGTCCAGCTCTTCACCGAGCCTCCGACTGCGCGGGGCCCAGAGGTGTTGTATCTCGTTTCCCTCCTTCTGGGAACAGTAGTTATATGCATAACTCAATGTTCCCATTCAGTCGGTTCACTCGGTACAACACATGACTATGGGACATATATTCACGCCCCGCAAAGTCGCCGAACTAAACATAAGGGACCAGCACCACCACATACCCCGTGCATTTCACGGGAGCGACGGCCCCTGGATTGCAACCCCTGCGTAAGCACGGACAGCTACCGTTGCCGCAGTGACGTCTAGTCAACAAACGAACATACTAGTGCAGTGATGCCCAACTGGCAGTCGCACAAACATCTTAAACCATGCCCATGACGTTTCCACACCCCTCGTAGAGCGCCCGAGCACCCATGCGGGTATTAGTCATAACAGGCATGTCTTATATGCTATAGACACAGCTTTCTACAATCCAATGTGAAAAACGCCATTCAAGTAGCGGCTTCACACGGGCACAAAAAGCTGGTACAGGGTTCTGGACTATACAAGCGACAAAGCACCCAAGTGAGGCTTTCCTGTCCATAATCAAGAAAACATGTGTTTTCTGCAGACGCAAAAAGATCAACACCGGTTCTGCGGAACCTGATCCCAGATTTGTGCCATTAGAGCAAACATCACTCCATGGGGGACCGCAGGTCTGCCCCATATCCAAAGTGGTCGTGCCAATTGTAGCAGGGGAAGAGAGCAAACGCTCCCGCCAATTATATACGACACCACATGTCGTATTTCTCATTCTGACTAACCCGTATGCCCTACTGGGCCAAGTGTCTCAGCACCAGGAGAACTACTCCAAAACGTTTATTTGACGCTCTTACAGCACTGTCGACCACTCTCCTCTTATAGAGTTCCTCGTCCATATCGTGAGTGACGCATTTGTTGTCACTACTACACATGGCGTAACCCTGGGGATTCCCTCTGTCAACAGATTGGGGTTTCCCACAGGGAATCAGTGCCTGAATGCACATCGGCGCTATCGACACATGTCTGTTTTAAATGTCGCTCGGTATACAGTGCCCAGCACCAGAACCCACGCATAAAGAGAAGACCAAGCCATGTTACTGCTATCGAGGCCATGAGTCCCAGCAGTCTCAATTCTCTAAGAAAAAAGCGCTCGCCTCCTCAGCCGAAACTGAGCCAGACAGCTGTGATAAACCTCTGCCCCTGTTGTGCTTTGAGTCTGTCCGCCGACTCAGATATAACACCCACTGACTCTGGGCCAGCGAGCCCCTATTCTGCTTCTTTTTCAAAAATGATAAATTATATATATATATTTATTTATTTATTTATTTAGTCATTTAGCAGACGCTTTTATCCAAAGCGAAGATAAAAACATCATAAATCCAGTCATAAATACATCAAAAGTCAGATCTAACATCTGTTTGATCTTTTGATTTACACACCCCACTGTCATGTCAGTCAGGGGTGATAAGACTCTGGTGACATGGCAGTCAGGGTGACAGAGGGGTCATATAGCCATAAATCAGGTCATAAATCTGACCATGTACACATTTGACATATGACAACCTGTCAATCAACGCTGACAGTGGGTCATAAATCAGGTCATAAATCAGGTCATAAATCACCAATCTGACACATAGTGTAGGATACTACTACTCTTGTTTTTTTTGTGAACAAAGAAAACATCATGATCATGCGTAATCAAACATAAATCATGATGATGTACTCATCTTACTTAATGTCTTAATTAAGGTGTTGTTCATCCATGAAGTCATGCATGAAAGACTTTGAACTCATGTTAGTTCCTGATAATTCATGAGATATTAATGCATGAAGTAATGCATAATTCACACATTAATTTATGCATGAATTCATCGTAATTCAT